AATTAGTTTCCCAAAAATTGGTCTCTGAATGTAAAGTCTGTAACATGGAATTGCTCTCATGATTCTTGGAATCATGAGGGCATGATTTGTTTCAAAGAAACAGGTGTCAAAGTGACTTTTAAGACTTAACTATCCCCTTACTGTCATAGAAAAATTGTTCAGGCGGATTTTTCCAATCAAAATAGAATCCTATTTATGGTTAATGATAGAACCGAAGTGTTTATATTGAGTATAAGGTGGAGAAAGAGATGAATATGTAACAGAAGGTTTCAAAATTGAACGTTTATCCAGCATGTAACACAAGCACAAATGGGTGATTTTTTCTAACAATAGTATAAACAATAACTTTCTGTTAAGCGATTGTTTCTTAGCTCCGCTTGAACAGTTAATGAGCTAGAATGATGTTCCTTGAGGAGGAAAGCCTGCATAATCTATGAATAATCAAAGCTCTCCAAATTACAGTTCACTGCTAATATTATAAATAAAGGGGGTAAATTTCTAAAGAAACTGTGGTGCTGCCTAATGGTAGGAGAGTATACCAGGATAATTTAGTATTATCAATTGAGTTGATAAGGTATAAAAAGATGACATTTTGAGTGTTAGCCCTTCGTCAGAGCAATTGGGCTGACAAAGGATTTGTCAGCATTTAAATTCATCACAGTGGTAAATTTACATTATCGACTCAACTGATAATATGAAATTACTTTGATATAATTATATATTGTGATAAGAATACATGAAAGTCATATATTTGTACTGCGGAAAATACATTTAAGCAAATGAAGATCATCGCAGTATATACTCAACTTAAGCAGTAAGCAGTTGAGAAATTAGGCCTGAACTCACAATTGACCAGCTCCCAGTTGGCTTGATAGCTCAGTTGGTTAGAGCGCTGCACCGGTATCGCAGAGGTCATGGGTTCGATTCCCGTTCAGGCCTGAATTTTTTTCAGGCCTTATTTCTCAACTGCTTAAGTTGAGTATATACTGCGATGATCTTCATTTGCTTAAAATAATTATATATTGTTGCCATTAATACCACTGATAACCTTGGGGCACCTGTTAGTGCCCTTATTTGTGACTGTCGTTGTCTTTCATAACTGATATATAGTAACTGTTGTTCTGCTGCTTCCCTTTTCAGACTTTCTGACTTTATCCCTGATTCAAGGGTTATTTTCTTGAACCCAGGAAACTCTATACAAAGTAGGAGGACTTGCTGCTCTTTTTTTCTCTCATTTTTTAAACTTGCCTTCATTTTGTCAATCTTTATTATACCCTTTAATTGCCATGAGTGACCAAGACAGAATTTCTCCTTACAATATCAACACAATATCAACCAGATAAGTGATGAGAGTAAAGAAAAATATATATTTGGGGATGATAAGTTGATTCAATACTAAATTCTCTGAACTAACATTATAAGAATTGTATGGTTGGGAGTAAGGAGAATTACAAATTTGATGTGGGAGTTAAAGGGTTAATAATTTATTTGCTGGAAATAATTGTGTCCTGTTTGCATATGTTTAGAATTCTGCATGCTCTCGTTTCACTTATATCGGTGTGAGTATTAATTATTTTGCCTGCATGGTAAGGTTATGTCAAGAACTATGCATTATATTAATTCACTATTTAATTTTAATGTTGTGATCAATGGTTGTGATTGTGTTTGGTTACAAACATGTGGAAATACTCTTAGAAAATGTCGCTGAAATTCTGGTGTTCCTTCTGATAATTATACTGCTGGTTTAATTACTGAGTACAGCTAGGTTTGTGAAGTGCTTCAACTGTATGTTGACTTATGAATATTAACATTTGAGAGACTCAAGTTTGGGTCACTGGTTCCATCCTTGACAAAGTACATATGGATTAGCAATTATCACCCCATGCTTGCATGTCTTGGGAAATTAGTACATTTATGCAAAGAGTCTATCATAGGTTTTGCCAAGTTAAACCTAACTTAAGTCCTTCAAGGTACCCTCTGGCAATTTTCCATGGTGATTTTGCATAAATTAATTTTTTTCATGTGGAGAGGTTACTCTTTTGATGATGTTTGTAGCATGGATGTCGAAGCACAAAATCTAACCCAATGCTGGATGAATCACGAAGATCATGTTAACAATCCAAAATGTTCAAGATATTAAAAAATTGCCATTACATATATATAGCCATTGACAGCCAAAACATTTGTGTAAAGGTATATTACATCAGATGGCAAGAGCAATTTTTACAAGATGGTAAAAATAACCAAAACCATCATGACCTATTCTATTTTACAACTGCCTAAATAGTAAAATTTAAAATGTTTCATATATAGCCCAATCATGAATTTTTGGGTTAAGGAGACCCTAAATTGTTTAAAAAATAGTAATCTGAAAGTTGACTAATTGTAGGAAATGACCAAGAGAGGCTGTTTATTTTTGTGCAATGAAAAGTGTATGAAAATGTATTTTTTTTGTTTTCTCTGAAATTGAAAACTAGTTTTTTTGGTCTGCTTGGCTCCTTTTTTACTTTCTAGGGGCCCAAACCTGAGTGTTGTAAATTACCAAAATCCTGGAAAAAGGCAAGAAAAAATAAAGCCCACTTTATGTTATGGACATTATATTACAGACATTACATTATGGACATCACATTATAGACATTATGGACATTATGACTGTATGACTTTAATTATGGTAATTCTTTTGGGAGAAATAAATGCTACATGCATACCAATTTCGTTCAAATTTATGACATCCAAGTTTTCAGTGCTTTTGACTGAACACTAATAACAATAACCATAACAATAACTGTTGTAGCAGTATTAAGCAACACCACACTGACACAAGGAGTATAAATTTTCAAAAAGTTGGAACCCAAGTGTGAATTAAGTTTAATGAAAGACATGTCATGTTTAGCTAGGGTCAGTACTTTCTTTTATAATATCTGAAGATAGCAAATCAAAATATAGCATGCAATGTTTCAGAGATGTAGCTTAAAAAAAGCAATACTTCAACTTTCATAGGCCATTGCACTGTCATAATACTATAGAGAAAGTTGTCAATTCATACAGTTCAGTGCAGTGTAACTTTCCAAAATAGTATCAACTTGCTTATTAAGAGTCAATGAATAGTTCACTTAAAAAAAGTTCAAAACAATCCAAGTTTAGTAATTAAAGCAGTGTTTAACTACTACAATCTGCAGTTAGTTTGATCATTTATTTGCAAACATTTCTTTTTGAAGATATTTAAAAAGCCTCTCAGTATATGAAAGACTTGGAACATTGAAATGTCCAGTGCCTTTCAGCTCTTTGGAGCCACAGTAGACTCCTCTCTCACAATATTGCTCCTCAGAGGCCAATTAAATGTTTTGACAACTTGGTGAAGAAATTTGATTTCAACCTCAATATCAGTAACCCTAAGGGCTCTTCCAGTGTAGAATTTAGTGTTACACTAGAAACCTGTACTGTGTCTCAAAAAGCAAGAACCAAAAGACAGCAGAAACACTAGTTAGAGCATGTTCAATAAAACTGAATTGTAAGGAGCATGCTCCATATGGGATACTCCACATACCACAGTTACAATTTGTACACCCAAGTGTGATATTAATGCTTTGGTTATCAGCACAACTAGAAAAGAGAGGTAACTTTTAACTCCCAAGATCTAATTGTTAATTCTCCCCTCTAGCTGCTACACATTTCCTTGTAAATTAGTTGTGAGAACTTGGTGCTAGATGAAGATAGCAGCTTCTACCTGATAAGTTTGAATATTCTCATCACCTGTTTCCTGAATAATGTATGGATTTGTAGGGAGAAGTTTTACATTAATCACCTCTGGGAGTTAAAGGGTTAACTTGTAATTGGGCTTAATTAAGATAAATTTGGTCATGTACCCTGTGAGGAATGTTTGTACAAATTATACATTGAAAACTGTGCAAAATAAGTTTGTTAAGGAAATTAGTCTCCAAAAAAACTGGTCTGGGAATGTAAAGTCTGTAACGTGGAATTGCCCTCATGATTCTCGGAATCATGATGGCACATTTCATTTCAGAGAAACAGGTGTCAAAGCGACTTTTAAGACTTCATTATGTCCATATAATCACAGAAAAATTGTGCAGGTAGATTTTACTGATGAAAATAGAATCCTATATATGATTAATGATAGAACTAAAGTGTTTATTGAGTAAGGTGTAGAAAGAGATGAACATGTAATGAAAGGTTTCAAAATTGAATGCTGGTCCAGCTTGTAACACAAGCATGAATGGGTGAATTTTTCTAACAATAGCATAAACAATAACTTTCTATTAAGCTGTTGTTTCTTAGCTCTGCCTGAACAGTTAATGAGCTAGAGTGATATTCCCTGAGGAGGAAAGGTTGCGTAATCTACGAGCAATCAAAGCTCTCCAGAGTACAGTTCGCTGCTAATATTACAGATCTATATATTTTTCACTACTGTTAGTAAATGTCATGAGAACAATGGGCATTCTGCATGATGTGTTGGTGTGTTGTGTGTGTGTTATCACCTTTGTCCCTGAAATCATATGGAGGGTCACATTTAGTTAGCCTTTGAAAATCATGGTGGTTGTTGTTGTTGTTGGTGTTGTTATTGTTTTTTTTAATTCCAGCTGACTTTTGATAATTATAAATGAAGAAAGGGGTAAGTTTCTTAAGAAACTCTGGTGCTGCCTCAGTGGGCGAGTATACCAGGATAATTTAGTATTATCAATTGAGTTGATTAGGTTTAAAAAGATGACATATGACATTTTGAGTGTGAGCCCATTGTCAGAGCATTATTGGGCTGACAAACAAATTGTCAGCTTTTAAACTCGTCACAATAGCAAATTTACATTATCAATCAACTTAGCTGATAATATGAAATTACTTTGATTTAATTATAAAACGTTGCCATCAATAACACTTATAACCTTGGGCACCTGTTAGTGCCCTTATTTGTGACTGTCATTGTCTTTCATAACTGGTATACAGTAACTGTTGTTCTGCTGCTTCCCTTTTCAGACTTTCTGATTCAAGGGTTATTTTCTTGAACCCAGGAAACTCTATACAAGGTAGGAGGACTTATATACTGCTCTTTTTTTCTCTCATTTTTGAAACTTACCTTCATTTGTCAATCTGTATTAACCCTTTAATTGCCATGAGTGACCAAGACAGAATTTCTCCTTACAATATCAACACAATATCAACACAATATCAACCAGATAAGTGACGAGAGTAAAGAAAAATATAAATTTGGGGATAATAAGTTGATCCAATACTAAATTCTCTGAACTAACATTATAAGAATTGTAGGATTGGGAGTAAGGAGAATTACAAATTTGATGTGGGAGTTAAAGGGTTAATAATTTATTTGCTGGGAATAATTGTGTCCTGTTTGCATATGTTTAGAATTCTGCATGCTCTCATTTCACTTATATCCATGTGAGTATTAATTATTTTGCCTGGTAATGTTATATCAAGAACTATGCATTACTTGGATATAACTATAAAATGATGTGGTTAATACCACTTATAACTTTAGGCACCTGTTTGTGCCCTTATTTGTGACTGTCGTTGTCTTTCATAACTGATATATAGTAACTGTTGTTCTGCTGCTTCCCTTTTCAGACTTTCTGACTTTATCCCTGATTCAAGGGTTATTTTCTTGAACCCAGGAAACTCTATACAAGGTAGGAGGACTTGCTGCTCTTTTTTTCTCTCATTTTTGAAACTTGCCTTCATTTTGTCAATCTGTATTAACCCTTTAATTGCCATGAGTGACCAAGACAGAATTTCTACTTACAATTATCAACACCATATTAACCAGATAAGTGATGAGAGTAAAGAAATGTATAAATTTGGGGATAATAAGTTGATTCAATACTAAATTCTCCAAACTAACATTATAAGAATTGTATGGTTGGGAGTAAGGAGAATTACAAATTTGATGTGGGAGTTAAAGGGTTAATAATTTATTTGCTGGGAATAATTGTGTCCTGTTTGCTTGAACAGTTAATGAGCTAGAGTGATGTTCCCTGAGGAGGGAAGCCTAGTATGTAATCTATGAATTATCAAAGCTCTCCAGATTACAGTTCACTGCTAATATTATAAATAAAGGGGGTAAGTTTCTAAAGAAACTGTGGTGCTGCCTCAGTGGGAGAGTAATTGCCAGGATAATTTAGTATTATCAATTGAGTTCATAAGGTTTAAAAAGATGACATTTTGAGTGTTAGCCTTTTCATCAGAGCAATTGGGCTGACAAAGGAATTGTCAGCTTTTAAACTCATCACAGTGGTGAATTTACATTATCAACTCAGCTGATAATATGAAATTAATTTGATATTATATAATGTTGTGGTTAATACCACTGATAACCTTGGGGCACCTGTTAGTGCCCTTCTTTGTGACTGTCATTGTCTTTCATAACTGATGTAAAGTAACTGTTGTTCTGCTGCTTTTCTTTTCAGACTTTCTGACTTTATCCCTGATTCAAGGGTTATTTTCTCGAACCCAGGAAACTCTATACAAGGTAGGAGGACTTGCTGCTCTTTTTTTCTCTCATTTTTGAAACTTGCCTTCATTTTGTCAATCTTTATTAACCCTTTAATTGCCATGAGTGACCAAGACAGAATTTCTCCTTACAATATCAACACAATATCAACCAGATAAGTGATGAGAGTAAAGAAAAATATAAATTTGGGGATAATAAGTTGATTCAATACTAAATTCTCTGAACTAACATTATAAGAATTGTATGGTTGGGAGTAAGGAGAATTACAAATTTGATGTGGGAGTTAAAGGGTTAATAATTTATTTGCTGGGAATAATTGTGTCCTGTTTGCATATGTTTAGAATTCTGCATGCTCTCATTTCACTTATATCCATGTGAGTATTAATTATTTTGCCTGGTAATGTTATGTCAAGAACTATACATAATATTAATGACCTATTTAATTATGTTGTGATCGATGGTTGTGATTATGTTTGGCTACAAACATGTGGAAATACTCTTAGAAAATGTTGCTGAAATTCTGGTGGTCCTTCTGATATACTGCTGGTTTAATTACTGATTACATGCAGCTGGGTTTGTGAAGTGTTTCAACTGTATGTTGACTTATGAATATTAACATTTGAGAGACTCAATTTTGGGTCATTGATTAAAACTTATTAATTCATATAAAATCAAAGTTTAAGCTCCCCTCCTAAAACAGGA